CATTTTATGAGGCTAGCATTACTCTGATACCAAAACCAAACAAAGACAGTACAAAAAAAAAAAAGTAAAAGCACAGACCAATACCCTTGTTTAACATAGACACAAATCTGCTCAACAAAAAGTTAGCAAATCACAACCAGGAATACAGTATGTATCATAAGCAAGTTGGGTTTATCCCAGGAATGCAAAGCTGGTTTAATATTCAGAAATCAATTAATGTAATCCACCATATTAAACTACAAAAAAGAAAAACCATACGATCATATCAACTTATGCAGAAAAAGCATTTGACAAAATTTAAGGTCTATTCATAATAGAAACTCTTAGCAACCTAGGAGTAGAAATGACTTTTCTTAACCTAATAGAGGACCTAACACTAGTGGTTAAAGATTGAATGCCTTCTCTCCCAGATCAGGGATAAGACAATGATGTCCACTCTCATTGCTCCTATTCAACATCATACTGGATGTCCTAGCCAGTAAAATAATAATAATACCCCAATGTTCACTGCAGCACTATTTACAATAGCCAGGACATGGAAACAACCTAGATGTCCATCAACAGAGGAATGGATAAAGAAGATGTGATACATATATACAATGGAATATTACTCAGCCATAAAAAGGAACGAAATTGGGTCATTTGTAGAGATGTGGGTGGACCGAGAGTCTGTCATACAGAGTGAAGTAAGTCAGAAAGAGAAAAACAAATATTGTATATTAACACATATATGTGGAATCTAGAAACATGGTACAGATGAACCTACTTCCAGGGCAGGAATAGAGACGCAGAAGTAGAGAATGGACATGTGGACACAGGGAGGAAGGGGAGGGTGGGACGAATTGGGAGATTAGGATTGACATATATACACTACCATGTGTAAATAGATAGCTAGTTGGAACCTGCTATAAAGCACAGGAAGCTCAATTCGGTGCTCTGTGATGACCTAGATGGGTGGGATGGGGTGGTGGGAGAGAGGTCCAAGAGGGAGGGGATATATGCATATATATATAGCTGATTCACTTCATTGTACAACAGAAACTAACACAACATTGTCAAGCAATTATACTCCAATAATAATAATAATGATAATAATAACAGTAATGATAACAATATGAAGAAGGAGAAGGAGAAGAAGCAGCAGAAACAGAAGCAGCATACTGTGGAACACAGTATGGTGGTTCATCAAAAAACTTAAACATTTAATTACCATATGATCCAGTAATTCCACTTCTAGGTATACCCACCAATTAATTGAAAGCAGGGTTTCAAAGAGATGTTTGTATACCATGTTCACAGCAGCATTACTCACAACAACCAGAAGATGGAAACAACCCACATGTCCTTCAAGAGATAAACGGATAAACAAAATACGGTATAAACATACAGTGAAATATTATTCAGCCTTCAAAAGGAATGAAATTCTAATACAGGCTACAACATGGGTGAAACATGAAAGCATTATATACTAAGTTAAATAAGCCAGGCACAAAAGAACAAATATTGTATGGTTCTACTTATATGAGGTACCTAGAATAGTCAGATTCATAGAGACAGAAAGTAGTATAGTGGTTACCAGAAGGGAGGGGTGATCACTAATTATTGTTTTGTGTGTACAGTTTCAGGTTAGGATGATGAAAAAGTTCTGGAGATGGATAGTGGTGGTGGTTGGACAACAATGTGAATGTACTAATGCCACTAAACTATACATTTAAAATGATTAAAATGGTAAATTTTATCTTATGCATAATTTATCACATACACAAAAAAGATAGGCCTAGCATGGAAACAAATCTGTTGGTCATGAGTCAGTAAATGTTGCTGAAGCCATCATAGTGGGATATAGTTGCTCAAAAAGAAAAAAATTACAGATTTAGAGAAGATGGTCAATAACAGAATCCTGACTTTAAGAAGGCAAGTGGAAAACAATTCACTAATGTTTTTGTTGCTGTTATTATTTGTTTTAGTGATCAGAGGATTAGAATTAGAAAAATGAAAGAGAAGTTTGAAGGAAGTCAAGGAAATTGTCAAGAATGGGGTTGTGATACCTTTCTGAAAAGAAATGTGATGAACACAAAGATCTTGGATATGCATCATCATAACTAGATCTGTAGGATAAAATCCCAGAGGTGGGATTGATCAAAGGATAAATGCAATTGGAATCTTGAAAGATGCTGCCAAATTGCCTTCCAAATAGTTTGTACCAATCAGCAGTCCCTCTAACAAGGTAAGTTTTCAAATTTTGGGAATATTTGCCATTCAAGTCTATAAGAAACAGTATCTCTACATAGTTTTAATGGCATTTATCTTCTTATGAATGAGGTTGAGTGTATTTTCGTATACTTGAGAACAATATGTAGACTCTGTTCTGAGTATTTTTTGTTAATCTCGTTCTGTTTTTATTGGGTTGTTAGTCTTTAATCAATATTTTGAGTGCTCCTTATATACTAGGGAGATTAGCTATTTGTTTGTAACAAAAATGCAAATTTTTTCCAGCTTGTCACTTTAAGTTTTTTTTTTTTTTCATGTAGTAGCAATGATCAATCTTTTACATCTTGGTTTTGGGATTTTGAAGTTAGGAAGGCCTTCCTCATTCCATGGTTATAAATTAATTTAAGTTTTCAGTCTTTGTAATTTATTTATTTTTTGTTTAAGTTTTAAGTTTTGACCCATTTGGAGTTAACTCTGGATTCAGTACATGGCATAATCTATTTTCTTTTTTCCAGAAAGGCTAACAAATTGTTCCTATTACCATTATTGAAAAGTCCATTTTTTCCAACTGATTTGAGATGCCCCATTCACCAGACACTAAAATTCTTTATTTGGTTCCATTTTTGATTCTCTGTTCTGTTCCACTGGTCTGTCCAGTCAGATAACAAGCCCGCATTATTTCAAATCTTGAAGTTTTAGGGTATGTTTTGTGATCTGGTAAGACTAGCCCCAACTACCTCCCACTGCCTTTTTTTCCCCCAGATATACTGTCTATTCCTACCTTTGTCATTCCACTTGAACTTTAGAATAACCCCTATTTAGAAAAATATATTCTTTTCAATGGGATCATATTAAATTCATAAATTAATTTTAAATGACATGTTTATGATATTAAAGATTTCTCTTCAAGAATATAGTATAACTTTTCATTTAATTCTGTGTCCTTCATAGTGTTTAAGTTTTTTATGTAGGTTTTATTTATTTCTTGCTAAGATAATTCTTAAGCATTTTATCCTATTCCAAGGTTTTGTTTGTACATATGAAGTTTATTTACACGAATTTTATACCCAACAACCTTATTTTCTCCTTTTATTTAAAACTACATTAAAAGTAACTGTAGTAAAATTCTTGGAGAAAGTATCTTTGCAATTAGAAGCAATTTATTTCTAACCTAACAAAATCCACCTGGCCTGGGGGGGGGGGGGGAGACCAAGAAAAAA